ACAGCACCAGGCAGAGGGTTTCTCACCACCCCCAGGATGAGAGCTCTGGGTCGGGTACCACCCCGCTGTGAGGATGCCTGGGCGAAGGCTCTGCCTCCGGAGCAGCCGCCTTTGCCTGCCTTAAAAGCAGCCAGAGGCTTTTTCATGTTCACCTCCTCCACAATTAAGAGGCGAGGCCCCAAGACGGCTCCTTTTCAGACAGAGCTGAAAAGCAGCGGTTCACATCCAGGGCGCCGGCGTGCAGGGAATGCCAGCTGCGCATTAAACACCCCGTGGCTGCAGGCAGGAACGAAGGGAAAGCTTTGAACTTCGCCTGGAGATCGGAGCAAACTGATCCCAGGCGCTTGGGAGGTCTCTGGCGAGATCAGAGCCCCGCACACGATACCAAGCCTTGCTGGGATGGGCATAAAGGGGAGCAGGGAGGGGAAACGGGTGGTTTTGCTCCAGTTTCTGCTGGCCTGGTCCTGCCATGTTTGGTGAAAATCACACATATGGAAAGGGCTGATTCCTTCCCCATCTGGCTCCTCTGATTTATCAAATAGCTGAGTTATCGCAAAGCTTCAAGCTCAAGAGCCGGGCAGATGGCACAGGGGAAAGGCTGCAGCCCCAGCTGCAGGCACCGCTCCTGGACACAGAGGCCAGGGCAGACGTTTGCAACCTGTGGCTCCAGTTTTGCCCCAGAAAAACAGACAAATTAACCAATTCATGTGGGTTTTTTGCCTGTTCCGCTGCAAAGTCCAAGAGCTAGAGGACAAGGTCTGAGCCAGGGCCTGGCAAGCCTGTTTTTTCCGGATCCTCTCCTAACCTCAGTGCACGCTGCATCCCATGGGACCAGGGACCCCTCACCGGCAGCCCTGATGCTGCAGCACAAATCCAGTCTGAGCGGCAGGAATTCCCCCTCCACATTAGCTATTTTGACGCCTTTCTCCAAAACTACCTGTTTGCTGCTGTTGGGTGAGAACAAACGGCCCCAAACCCAAGAAGGCTGGAATCAGCTTGGTCTGGAGCAGCAGTCCATTGCTAAAACTGTAAGCAACCAAAAGCAATGCCTTGCTGAGGCAGGGAGGTAAACATAAACATCAGCCTGCTAAAATAACTGTGGTTAGCTCTGCGGGCTGCAGCACTGCTCCAGCTGGTGTGGTGACACCCGATAGGAACAAACACAGCATTGCACACCCCTTCCTCTCCTCCCCACAGCCTGGGAAGCAAAAACACCCTTGGGCAGGTTTCCAGGGGCACTGTGAGACCACCCCCCCACGCAGCCTCGTCTCTGGTCCGCATCCCTCCCAGGAGCTCCCGATGCTTGGGGCTGTGACTTGCCGAGCATCGCGTCAGGGCAACTGGCCAAACCCCGGCAAGAGCCAGATGGCCAGGGGGAGGAAGAGGATGGGCTCACAAAGCTTCCTTGGTGGGTCAGAGACCTCTCCCGGGTGAAGGCTCGTCCCTCCAGCCCAGGCAACCATCCTGGGCGGTCCTTTGATGTGGCCAGTGAACTGGTTTCCAGTTCTGGCCATGGCTCTTCGGCAGCTGGGCTGTTCCTCTCCCCAGGCTCAGCACTCCCCAACCCACCGGCCCCATCCTGCCCTGGTGCGGAGGAAGGCAGAGGTGGCTGAAGGACCGCTGAGGGGGCGAGGATGGAGAGCGGCCTCATAACTTCACTGGAAGGGGACGGGCAGGGCGAGCTCACGGCTTCCCAGATGCCACAGGAACCACAGGGAGGGGGATGTATTTTGCAAACACCGGCCACAAGAATAGCGTCGGATGAGAGCCTGGTGGAGCAGAGCCCGGAGAGGGCTGCTCTGCTGGCTCCCTTCGAAGGAGTTGCTCCTGCAAACACCAGCTGGGCTTGTTTTAGAAAAGAGGGAGGGGAAGCAGCTTTCTGGGTCACGGCGTCCCAGGATCTGCTAACGCAGGGGACACGTCACCCTGGTTCCGTGCTAACGGAGCGAGGAGGCTGCCTGCTCCAGGTCTTTTCTGACCTGTGCAGGGGAAAGGACCGGTCCCAGCCTGGCTCAGAAATTGCCCTAGAAAGGGGGAGCAGGGCCATCGCATGGGACTTGCTGAAGCTGGAGGTGCTGGGAGAGGAAAAGAAACGCTCCCAGCCCCGGAACCCCACGCCGGGGGAGGCTCGCAGCCATCCAGGGCAGGCGAGCAGTACCCGGAGGGGATGCCAGGCGTGGGAAGGGAGGAGGATGTCACGAGGAGGCAGCTGAAGATGCAGGCTCCGGGGAAACTGGAGCAGTTCCAGCATTCCCCAAGCACAGGCTCTTGGCAGGACCGGCAGACCAAACAACCGGCAGGAACCGTGCAGGCAGAAAATACCCCCGGAGAAAATCCACCGGGCTGTGGCAGCAGCTCTCACGAGCAAGCCAGGAGCTGCTGTGGCAGGTCAGGGAGGAAGCAAAGCGGAAAGCGAGCACGTACCTGAAGCACAAAACCAGAGCGTGCCGGGCTCTCCTGCCAGACCTGCATCCAGAGCAAACCACCTCCCTGCCGGGCATGGATTCAGTGGGCGGCTGGGAGGCCGTGGCTGGGAATTGGCTTAGGGACCTGGCCGCGGCTGCTGTGCTTCTCGGCTCGACTGAGCTCCAGGTTAATCTCAGCCCAGCTTTTCCCTTTTATCCCCTGGTACAACTTCAATACATTTTTTCAATTAGGTCCATCTTTTAAGCTCCAGAGCGCATTTCTAGGAAGGGCTGCATTGTTTCTCTTGGCCCTCGTGGGTTGATGCTGCGCAGACCGGGACATGCCTGGCACCGGTCCTGCCCGCATCCAGCTAAAGTGCTGCCACGCTGCAGCCGGTGCGGCGCTGCCTGGAAGCACTCAAGGAGTTACCCGTTACCCCCAGCCCACCTACCGGGTATCTTTAAGAGCAGCGTTGTTCCCTGTCTGCCTCATCACAGCTCCGGCAGGTTGCAAAGCGCCAAGCTCACCGCGCAGCCACGCAGGAGCACGGACCGCTTTCGCCTTTCGTGCGGTCCCGTTATTGGAAAGCCTCACCGGCAACCTGCCTCCGTCCTCTCCCAATCCGCATCTGCCGCCTTTCACAGGGCGACGGCTGAAAACCAAAGGGAAATAAGCTGCTAGGGTGTACTTTTGGATGAGAAGGCTGGGTGAAAATGTGGTCTAAAAGTGACAGTTAAAAAAAAAAAAAAAAAAATCGATAAAGTCCTCAGTGGATACTTCAGCAGTGAAATCGCTGCCTGCTGCGGGAAGACTGGTCGCAGGGCAATGGGTAAAGCAAAGGAGGAGTTTGCAGCGCAGCAGTACGATGCATTGAGATGTTTAACTCAAGTTGGGAGTAACGGAGCCCGGGCAGGATGGGAAGAAAGCAGCTCGCCCAGCCCAGTCTGCCTGATCCGGACCAGCTCACTACAGCTCCTATGGGCAAGGGTGGGCGACCCAGCTCCGCTCCAGGAGCCGAACTAAATCACGAACTAGAAGCACAGCTCACAAATGCATGCTGAGCGCATTTCCCCTTGAGGCCATTTTCCAAGCTGCAGTCAACCGCAAGTCCACCCCACTAACAGCCTCCTCCATTAGCATTCGCGAGCTCTTTCCGTATCGGTAATGCCCTCCACCCGAGCATCTTGAGACATTTTACAAATAGCAGCAGCAGCAGAGTGCAAGCGATTAGGCCTCTAGCCAGGGAGCAAAGAGACCTGGGTTTGCTTCCTGCATCTGTCACTGTCACCTCTCCTCGGTGTGCATCTCTGCCGCTTAGATAAGAAATTCTTGGGGGCAGGGGGTCATCTCTCACAGTGCATCTCTGCAGCGCCGTGCAGAGTGGGGCTGGGCTCTGCACATCTGTCTGCCCCCGGCTCCAGCTGTGCCAGGCGAGGAGGTTGCGGCTCCTCCATCCTGCCAGCTGAACTGCTCGTCTGCTTCCCTCACCCACGTCAGCTCTAATGAGCTGAAACAGGTTACGCGGCCGGTCTTTGCTCGTTTTCACGCTGACATAGGCTAGGGAACATCCCATGAGCGGCTCAGCCGGCAGATGGGAGGAGGGAAGGGGGAAAAACTCCAGTGGCAGACTGCTTCACTTGCTGAATGAAGAACAAAAACAACCCAAAGTCCTCATGTATACACGCAGTGATGAGCTCAGAGAGACCATGGCACCAGCATGTTCCCTGGGAACGGGTATCTCACTTGTGTGCATGAGCAGCTGATCAAAGACACCCCTTGGCTCTTGCCACCCATCTGCTCTTCTCACTCATGACACTGCATAAGCCAGGAGGAGTAGAGACCATTCCCAATGTGCATCTAGCCCCAACCAGCTGCTGATTCTCCAAGCAATTTTAGGGTGGTCTCACTTCTTGGTGAAAATAATGCCTACAGGTCCCCCAGACTCTCTGCTTCCTTCTGGCTTTCTCAAGCTGGATCTGTACATGGAGTTTTTGACCACAGCTGGAAGTGCCCTGGGCCATCAGCTGGTGGTACACCTGGGGCCGTGCCTGGTGGCTGTCTGGGTCTCGGCTCACTCTGATCCTTAATTTCAAACTGAATGGGCACTTGAAGCAATGCATACTTAAAGCTCTTCCTTCTCCCCTTGTGACTAAAGGATTCACAGTTAGTACTCACGTGGATCCAGCAAAGAGTAGTGTGCATCCTCCCACTCAGAAACCCAAGCACTTTATACTGGCATTTTCAGATACTTGCGGGGTCTGTTTATTACTGTTTTGAAATATTAGGGTTGAGAGTGGAAAAAAGAATCCCACGTGGGAATAATTTTGCATTTCCAAGTGCCTGAGGTCCTATGGATGAGGTAAAGAGCTGGGAGTTAAACATCTGGGCAGGCAAATCTCCAAATCTTGGTGAACACCGGTGGGGAAGGGAATAAAAAAAAGCTGCATGTAATTAATTGCTAACAAAACAAAAAAAGAGTAAGACACCCATGCCCAGTGCTGTCTTCCCAGCTATCAGGAGGACTTCAGCAATGGAGATGCAGACACCTTCCCCAAGATTTCTTCCCCAGCAGTTTTAAAAGGAGTTACCTTGAATTCCTCCAATGAATGCAGCTGATCCACCAGCCAGGAAACCAGCATTTGCTCCTGCAGAAAGGTTTGGTACATTAGCAGGAAAGGGGAACACAGCCTTCGCTGAGCCCCGCAGTTTCCTCATTCTTTCACATGAGCCACAGTGGCTGCAGGCTGCCTTGCCTTTATGAAATTGCTGCCTTTTGTCCAGCCTTCAATGCAAATAGGACAGGTGAGATAAGATCTGAGCACAGCAACGCTTGTCCTTTTTGCTTAAAGCCAGCCTGGGCTTCTACTGGTGGCAAAACACTCAAAGGACCTCATTTAAAAGCAAACAGAAGATAAAAAGAGGGAAAGACAAAGCATTAAAAGCTGCTCCCCTTCCAGCAACATGTCTCAACGGTTTGTCACAGGGAGTGTTTCCATCAGGTTACAGACTGATGACATACATTTTGCTTTGTCTTACGAGGGTGAGGGGGGAGTACTGCGAGATTAGACTGTATTAGCATATATACGATCAAAGCTTGATTATGACATCTAGTTACAAAGAATAAGAAATACGTTTCCTGTGGCTCAGGAGACATACCGGCTTATATGGCAGCGTTGGCTGACAATCTCACATAACTAATGGAACCCGTCTTGCTAAGATAACATCTGCCTCTGGAACAATAGGTTAGATTTCATGAGGTGTTTGTACAAAGTAAGACAACAGTCCTCTTCCTGCAGCATGTGCTATTTGTGGAGCCTACTCCAAATATACGTTGCCAGAGCATTGCCATTTCTTTTCATCCAGCTGTGGATGTGTAGTAAACAGCCATGGAACATGTTTATCTCGCTGTTTGTGAGCTAGACACACGTTTTCGCTCAACAAGTGAAAACATTTTCCTTTCCTGCAAGCCTATCTGACTCATGCTTAGGAAAGGCTACTGACTTAAGTGCCAATCCCTTTTGTAATGCCCATCACACCTTACTACTGCATAGTAGGGAGACAAACCGAACCTTTCAGTTCAAACCTTCATCTCCTCCTTGGACAGGAAGCTGAATCTCAGACCTCGCCTCATGGCTTTGTGGAATCTGAACTGCAGGGAACTCCACAGCAGGACCTGACTGGAGGGATCCTGGTTCTATCACTGCCTCAGAACAGGATTTCAGCCTTGCTCCATCTCTTGCTAAGGCCAAGAGTAAAACTTGTGCTTATTTAAATAGAAGCAGAGGTAGACCAAGAGGTTTTGACAATCCCACTCCCCATGTTTTAAAATAAGAACGCAAAGGAAAAAGCAGGAACTTGGAGAGAGGTGGATCATTTGGATCTTCCTTGTAAAAAGATTTTTGGGTAGGAAGAAAAGGAAATGTAGAGAAACTGTTGCAGGTTGAGGCTATGTTTAACTACACTTTCACAAACAACCATGAGGAGCAAGGCAACTTACTTACAAAGAACTGTACTAGCCCGAGATAAAGCTTCACTGTCCAGCAAGCTGCTTCTTAGAAACAAACATTAATTAGAATGACAGACAGAAGCTGAACTAGACTATATCTAGGCTCCTTGATTCGATGTACTTGGATCGCTTGCCTTGAACTTGGAGGGATACATTTTAGACCCACTTAAACGGACACCATAGGAACCAGTTGAAAATGAGATCTGTTTATAAAACCCCAAAAGACTGCATAAAATTAATAATAATAATTAATAATAAAATTAATTTCACTCTTCTTTTGTGGACTCAAACTGGTTTAGAACTGTCATTCAAACTCATTAGTGCACTTCCAGTCCTTTTTACAAATTGTTAGGTGAATATTTGTTTTTACCTTGGGTTTAACATATTCAAGCAATAACTGTGGTTGTATGCCCACGGAGAGCAGGAATCACCATGGCGTTTGGGAATACTGCTTTAACACGTTCTCTGTAGCTGTGTCATGCTAAACCACTGCAAAACAGGTGACACGTGAGCATGGTTCATCGTCCTTAGCAGCTGGCATTTTACTGTGCCGACAGAAATACGTTTCCAAGCCAGGTCAAAAGAAACCGTTAACCTTACATTGTATGTATTTGACCTTAAAATTTCTCATCTGAGGACAAGGTATTTCTGTAAATCATTAAAAAGTAACCTCTCTAAAGATTAGAAAAACTTAGTCAAAACTTTGTAATACGAACAGTAGGGACAAGCAGAAGTAGTTCTGGTTTTGAAGGAATAGCAACATTTGCTACAACTGGGAAGGCATCCACGAGGACAGCTGTAACTGACAGTTTGCAGTTCTTCCAAGGAATCTCACAAAAAAGAGTCAACGGCTTACGGACACATCACTCTGCCATGTGACGTGCCACTCCTTTTTAATCAGTCGGGTTTCCACACAAGGTACTGAATATTATTCTATTTACATTCAAAAATAGCATTTTTGTCTCTTCAGTACATAGTGGGAATGCCCATAAATTAGTCAGTAGAAACCCTTCTAACACAGGTGGAGGACAGCTTTGTTGATCTCTGGGTTTGTCCAGTCGTTCCGGATATCATCCAGGTGATTATCAAAATCTACAAGCGTCTCGTAGGACTTGCTGTCCAAGAGAGATGCAGCGATTCTCTGGGCTTCGGTCCAATCTTCACAAAAATCACTAGGACGTAAAATAACCAGGAATTAAAAGTAATCACAAAGAAAATCTCCACTACCTCCTCCACTCCGGAAATTAAGCCACACTCTCTGACACATGGTCATGGTGGTCATACCACTGCCTAGCTGCACAAGCCTTCCATCTCTTTCACTATAGCAAAAACCAGCTTTAAAAGCACTGTCAGCTACACCCACCGCCCTTACAGTGTCACTGATCACAGTCCAAGTTTTGCCCTTAACCAGGCAACCCCTTTTTCCTTACTACCTGAACACAAACAAACTCTGAAGTTTACTCACACGTGGGGGTCCTTGCACCTCCACTTGTTCTCATGAAGCTCATACACATGAATGGCAGGCTCTACGCACTCCATCGTAAACTTGGTGTTATCAACCTGTTGTGCAACAGGAAAACACCACCTTAGTCTCTTCCTCAAGATCCCAAGTAAAGAGATGATATAAAAAACAAAGTCAGTTTTTACAAACAGGGCACCTTACACTAACTTATCCACTGTTCTACTTTCGAGTGAGCCAAATTTTACATGTTTAAACTGCCAACATCCTTTGTCACTGCAGCAAGGACGCAAAGCACTGTTTGTTTCATAAAAGACCAGAGTTTAAGTCACAGAAGGGGATCTGAAGTCATGAAATACACTGCCTTCCCTCAAGCCTCGCAAGCAGAGAAGGCCTTCACTTCCTTTGAGACAGCAGAGAACTAACCGCAGTCTCTCTGTAGACCAAGAACTTCACTGGCTACAGGTCATTGCATCTCTTCCCCAGAGCATTTGGAGGGAAAGAGGAAATTAGTTACTTCACTATTAGAGGACCCAGAGAAGAGCATTTAAATGGCTAGTCCAACACCACGGTCATAACATTAACAATACAGAAAGGGGGGGGGGGAGCAATGAAGTAATTTACCATTATGAGCGCTGTATCGTTAAAGCCCTCTGCAATTCTGGAGGCCACTTTTTCCGCAACCTGGTTTGGACTGCAGCAGAAGGTAAAAGTAACTGTGTTATGTGAACCATGACATTTCAGCTGACACCAGCAGGAAATATGCTTAAAGAGATGTGAAAACTACACTGCGTGCTTACAAACAGGAACAAGATATCGAGCTGATGCTACACTTGATTGAAGTCAGAAGGCCAAGAAAACCCCAGCTCCTCTCTTCAGCACATGATCTCGATCTCAGCTATGCTTAGGCAAAGGGTTTTTGAACAGCAAAATGCTCACTGCAGACTTAATGTGGAATGAACGTTTTGCGGCCTCCTACCTTCTTCCACCAGACCAAAGACCGCAGCCACTTTTGCCCTTGCAGGCATTTAAAAAAGAAACAGAGTTTGCTCCCCAGTCTGCATTTGAACCCACTCACTGCCCAGCTTCTCTACCAAAATCAGGTAATCTTTTAAAGAAAAACCTTTACCATGTTTCAAAGATGACAGTCTCTGCGTGGTGCCAGTTATCTTCAGAAATGAAATCGGAATTTAAAAAAAAAAGCAACCAAGCCTGTGATATTCTTTCAAACCTCAAACAGAACAGAGAAACTGTATCTTCTCCTTAAAAATGTCTCACGCAGATTTATTTCCCTTGTAAAGAAAGGACAAATAATGCCCTTATCCCTGTTAGATGCCTTAGCAGTCACAAGTATTACTTAAAAAACCATACTTGTGACTGAAGGATATACATTAACAAAATAACCGGAACGTAGCATAATACTTTAAACAAACTCTTCATATTTTCTTTGAGTGCAAGTATGACGTACTCTCATTAGTCCTGATACTGGATTTGTCTAATAGATGCAGGGGAAAATAGTTGATACACATACCTAAAGCTATATTGTGGCTCCACAGGAAGGCCCCTTTATTGCTTATTGAGTAATTTAAGATAGCTAGCAGGGAAAAAAAAAAGACTAATCCTGGGGAAAATAAGTGAAAAGAGGTATTTCTGCTTGACTGACATCATCTTCCACTTCAAGAGCATCCCTTTACCATGTAAGAAAATGCTTCAGTAAAACTCGGAGACTATTAAGTAGTTTAGTAAGAATTAGGTCACTTCTGAAAGACCTTCCAAAAGATACTCAGAGTCATTCAAGTTTACAAGATACGTACTGCACAAGCTAACGCTCCTGCAAATTTTGGCTATTTCCCTGACAACTGTAATTAAACTGGTTGGCAGTCGTTCAAAGACTGGCCTTTTATAGTATCCACTAAAGAGGAGTGATTCTGGAAAGACTGGGGTTTCTGCACCTGAACAAAGGCCATATCCACCAGCACCACGAAGACAATGTGAAACCAGATGACAGTTGTCAAAGTTAATCAACACGCATGATTTATGTTGATGATTTTTGTTGGCAGAGTACAAAGTACAACATAAAAGAGCAAACAGAAGGAAATATTGCACCAACACACCTGGCATCTTTCACGCGTTCATTTGCCTGGTAATATCCAGCTATCACGTAGCTATTCTCTTTGCACCAAGAGTCAATCTGAAAAAGTAATTGGAACAATTAAGCCCAGGAAAAAAAAAAAAAGAAAAAACCCTACAGAACTAAGGACATCTCATGTCTGTCCTGCAAATAAAACAGTAATTGAATGATTACAATATCTTTGCCAACTGCTTCTTTAAATATATACACATTTATATATATTTATGTGTGCACTCACACACAGACTTTGGCTAATTTAGCGAGATCAGAGAAACCAAATTGAACATTCGGAGAATGATGGAAAACATTAACCAAATGGAGCAAAAGAGCAAGAAGTTATCTCAGTCAAAGTCTGGCCTAAATTCAAATGACAAGACTAGTAAAGAGCTTCAGCAATGCTGCCTGGGAAAGGAGTCTAGGTCTTACCTATTGCTGTTTATGGCTATTTTCTGTTAGTGTTCATTTGACAGAGAGAAGTTCGAAAATGTTCAGCATGTAGATGTGTGACTGTACTGTCCTTTCAAAATGAGCCTGTTCATTTTATTTCTAACATAATATTTCTAGGTTAAAGTGTAAGCATTTTTTACCTTAATTAGCAAATAAAGGTTAAAGTGAAAGGTAAATGCGAGGCAGAAAAAGTTTGCCCCATTTATCATTTTTTCAACCTGCTCCGTTACGAAAAGCCTTTTGTGATAAAATTGTTTTCCTTTGAGAGTTCACCTGCAAGGGTAACTAACCGCGGGAGCAACTTATCAAACCATGTGGGTGGATTCTCCACTCTTTTGAAATCTTTCAATCGAAACTGAACACTCTTCTAAAAATACTCTCCAGCTTAGCCACAAGATAAGGGCTCGCTGAAAGAGCTATTGGCATAAATTCTCTCATCTCCATTACAGACATGGTCAGTCCAGGCAGCTCCTCCTCACATAACATCTGTATGTAAATGCAAAAACGTATGCATTTCTTTGCATGTGATTTACACAACTTTTGATTTACACAAGTACAAAAGTTTATGTAGTTTTCTTGTGGCTTTTTTTTTTTTTAAGTGCAGTTTCAGCACGCACACACTGCTGTTCTTTCTGCTTTATGCTGGATCTGAATTCCTCCTGCTGAGTCTGTCTTGCTTTGAAAATACATATATATATATATATGTATGTATGATGTTTCTCCTTATAACTGAGGATATCAATTCAGCATAATAGAGCCCTGAAACACAGAAATGGAGAAAGCAGCTAGAATTTTCCTCTGCAGTCCCTAAAGAGCATGCATCAAAAAACCCTCAATAGCTATATTAAAATGGAGTCCAAAAATATACCTGATGCTGACCTGTCGCATCCTGCAAGTCAAATAAACCTCATATTTAGCAATAATTATAGTATTAGACTGCATAAACAAACAAAAAAAAGCCACGTGAATAATCCCTCCCCTACAAGGGATGACATGGATTTACGTGATTAAAAAAAAAAAAAAAAAAAAGGCTGCGTAGCCCTGCTATAGCTGAGGGCCAACTGCTGTTTCAATTATAAACCCATTTTGAGGGCTTAGGACTACGGTTTTAATTATTAGTGGCTTGAAAGCTTGGCATTAAAGCCAGAAGCCCAGACACTAAAATTAATAATAATTAAAAAAAAGTCCATCAATTTAAAAATAAAAATCCTTAGTTCTAAATTAATTTTTCTTGCGTACTGAAAATGGTCTTAAAAAAAGAGAGTATGATTTTTAAGTTCTCAGTTCCCTAAGTGGTAACTAAAGACTGCTTCCATAAAAAAAAAAAAAAGGAAAAAAATCTTTTTGGAATTAAAGCTGTTTCCACCTGCAATTTCCAAACACTTTCTAACCGCGGCACTGTCACCACAGGTAGCCTCAGCATCAATTAGCCCCTGATATTTTTAGTCATGTCCAGCCCTGAAGAGGGCAAGCCAACGGGACGACAAATTGTATCTTGCTTCCACACGGTGCACGTCACCCCTGAAAAATCAAAAGTGGCCTGCCCTCCGATTTGCTGCAGCCACCAAAGGCTGGTGGCAGGGGGGTTTACGAGAGCCCTGGGAGGAGAAAGGCTGTAACATACTGCCATCAGACCACTGTTTCAGGCAGCAGGGAGCCAGCCATGCGGATGGAGGGGGAAGTGCTGCATGGTTTTTTTTGGGTTTTTTTTTTTTTTTTTTTTTTTGAGAAGGTGCGGTTGCAAAACCACATCAATTAGCTGAGACATTCAAAGGCACAAAAACCCCCCCATGTGAAACTTAATTCACTTTTTCTTTAATGACTCCATTATTGAAAGGGATTTAAAACCGACAAGCCAAAGTGCAAATTAAACACACGCCCTTCTGCTCTCTCCTCCAGAGCTACAAACCTTCAAGCACTGCTGCGTGTTTAATAAAATCCGATTTTGTTGCTTCCTTGTACCTAGGCTGCTACTAAACCACTGCTCGCAATTTTTAGAAGTTACCACATGGACAAGTCCGTTTGAAAGCGTACCCTCTATTTTCAGATTAAATCTGGAGACTATTTCCCCCATTTGATGTTCTGGGATAACTCAGGTCAGAGAAAAGGAGGTGAAGCTCGTGGGGCTAGTTCTAGAAAACCCTCACATGTATGACCAGTCCACAGGCTTGACCAAGAATCAGCAGTAATTGAACTGGAAAAGCAACAGATCCCATCGAAACCTGTCAAAGCTTCAAAATCCTTTAGAAACAGGGGCGCTTCGCTACAAACACTGAGTTGCAACCATGCTAATCTCACTGATTTATTCAGTAACCATGCATTATGTTGTACGGAACAGGCGAGAGCGCCCTCCTTTTAAACCTTACAACAATAAAATCCAATTTTCATAGCTGCCGTGCCAGTATTTATTGACACCTTTGCCTTTGTTTAAACAAAGAACAAGAGCAAAAGGCCTTGGGCTCTTGTCAAGCGCTGTGTTTTAAAGCTGCCAAGTATCACAGAAGTCATCAAATGTGACTGCAAACAACGATGTGACTTAGCAAGTCCTAATTAACGTGGGAAATGCTGGGGGTTTCCGATCTTAAACTTTTTGTATCAAAACCCAAGAGCAAATATGTAAGACAATGCCATTTCTTTGGTTCCATAATGATTTGCTTACTGTAGATGTGGCAAGACATTTCAGATGTTGCAAGAAACAGGATTTATTTCCTAATAATATGATCCTGTAGCAAGATCTACACTAGAAAACTAGAGTGAAGGCCTAAAGTTCACAAAAATTCACTGCCACCGACCCTGTAGAAAGGCATCTAATCCCGATTTAAAGACAAACCCTACACATACTTTAAATATATTATACATGTTACTCTATACTTCATTAGCAACTTCCACTTACTCATTCCCAGAGGAAAAACAAATTACCGTTGTCCAGAAAGGTAAAGTCAAGCCTTGCCTACATTAAAGCAATTATGTACAGTCTTTTTACATTTTCCCAAGCAGTAACATGAGGAAAACCGTAAGCAGATAACGATTACACGACCAGCATACTTTTCTGTGTTACTCCTATACTGTTACACTGGCGTAAACAGACTTAAGACTGACAAATTTTGTGTGCTCCACAGCAGTATGGCAAACCTAAACGGCCAAGGCTCAGGCTCAGCCCCTGTTCCTGTGCCTCTGGCTGCATTTCATCATACCCAGGCTTCAGAAAGATCTCAAAATTCCCATGGCGTCATCTCAACTGGAAAAACCAGGAATTTATTTACAAATGAATATTTTCTGATGAACCAATCTGTTAAACTGAGGGAAATGTTTAGGCCAAGAAGTCTAGAAGAATCAGAAATTAGTTACTTTTACAGAAATCAAAAAGGCATGGATTTTCTCCTGTTAATAATGACAAGTCTTTAAATGGATAGAAAAGTCCAGAGCCCAAATCACACCCAGATCTCACTTCAGTGGTGGCTACGCCTAGAGCAAAGGTGCCAAAATGCTTCTTTGCCTCCAGATTTGCACCAGCCCACCCTGATTCCCCGTTACAATAAAATCCGAGCATGTTTTGCTCCCTCCGTCTTCTGGTTTTGACAAAGGGACTCTCCCCAAATGCCAGGCAGAAAGGAGCTGTGGCCCAATGCAGGATGGCTCCCAGTCTTCATGACCAGGGTGTTTAAACTGGAAAGCGCCAGCCCTACGGTCCTGACATTGTTCTTGTCCTGCCTATGTGACGAAGGGGGGAAAATGGATTATCCCACAATGACTAATTGCTCTTCCACAGTGGCAGGCAAGGTAGGGGATATTGTAACGGGGAGTGCTTGGCTGCCCCAGCCTGTCCCACGGTTAACTAGTCACCAGCTAGCTTGCAAGATACAAAGTGAGATTTCAAACCCAAGCCAGACCTCCAGTATGAAGACACATAAATTTTTTTTTTTCCCTATTTAGGCTAATGGCTTCCATAAATGGGAAAGCACACTAAAATGAATTAAGAAATGCATATATATATGCATCTATACACTCTTACTTGGAGACAAGCATGCCCTTTTCCAATTAGCTGATACTGCTTTGAAGTGCCCTAAAGGTAAGCTGGGAAAAGCTCTTCCTGCTGTAGAATAAGGACATTCCCTCTGGGAGTTATTCGGAGATAATGACACTGACAGAAGTAGCAGTTTCTCTGCACTGGCAAAGAAATTAGACAAAACTACGAGGCTTTGCAGTTTGCTGCTGCTTCCCCAGTGGAGAGCCGTACAGCGGGTGGACCTCGGGTTTGTTTTTTTTTTTCCACTTTACTTTTACCGCTCACCCCACATATTTGGCTATCGCAGGGCTGGCAGAACTACCCCAGCCCCCCAAGTCCCCTCAGCACCGGCCCTTCCTCACCCCCGGCCGCATCCCTCCCAGGCCTAGAGCCTTACCAAGGTGAGGGCCACCTCCAGCATGGGTGCCAGAGCCAGGGTACCGTGAAAGAGCGGGATACAGTCGACGAAAAGCGAGGGAGGCCCGGTCTGGTCGCGACGCGGAGCGCCCGACGGCCGTTCGGCCACCAGCAGCCCGTTAACGGCGCAGTGCGGGTACTTGGCGCCGTGCAGCACCATTTTGCAGTAAGCTTGAGTGGTCAGCTTCATCCTGCCACGGCAGACAGCCCCGACGGCCGCCACCGCTTCACCGGCCCCGCTCCCCGTCCCGCCGCCAAGTGTCGTCAAACGCCGTCAAGCGCTGTCGTAAAAAAGCGAAGGCGGAGGGAATGGGGGGGCGGTCCTCCCGTATCCCATCAACCCCACGGGTTAAAGGGCCGCTCCTTCGCGGCTTCTCGCTCTCCCGCCTACTCCCGGCGTGCACCGCGCTTCCGCTCGGCCGCCTCCTTCCGGTCGCAGCCCCGGGTAGAGGACGGTCGCCAGGTCGTCGGGCCGCGGCGGGGCCGGGAGGGGGGTGACGGGGGCTGCCCGCTCCCCGCCGGTGGTCGGGTGGGCCCTGCCCGCCATATTCAGCCGCCCCGGGGGATGGCGGGTGGCGCAGGCCGGGTTGGCGGCGGGGGAATGAGGGGCGGAGGGCTGCGGCCTTCCCCTTGAAGGAGCCGGGGGGGGGTGTGTCGGTGCGGCGTCATATCGCCGGTGTCACGGCATGTCGGGCGGGTGTCAGGCGTCACTGCCGGGGGTGACACCGTGGACGGGGGGGCGGGGGCCTCGCTTCCCTGTGCCGTGAGGTCCACGCCAAGGTCAGGCGTCGGCCGTGGGCTCCGCGTTCACCTCGTGGGGGGTTCGTGGGTTTTTTTTTTTGTTTGTTTGTTTGCTGAGGCCTGGGGCCTGTGAGAAACCCGTGTCCTGGAGCGGAGGCTTGGGCGGGGAGGCTGTGGGAGAAACCGTTAGCTGGGTGTCTGCCCTTCCCTCGGACATGCCGGTGTTGTTCGCTGCTGGAGTGTTTCCTCAGCGGGTGTGAGATGTGTTTAGACTCGGCTCGCCTGGGGCTCCTGGCTTGTGCTCAGGAACGATTCATTGCTGAGCGAAAGCAAAGCATCCTGGAAGGCTGACTTGAACATGAGAATGCCTTTGAGTTCAAATACAGGAGGCTGTAGGGAAAAAAGAGGGGAGAGGAAGACTCATCCAAGTAGCTCTAGTGGGGGAATGTCCCTGAAAAGCCCGGAGCGGTTCAGTCTGATGTGCTGCTCTTTGGAGAAGGGGCAAGAAGCCTCTAGGCCGGCTTTTCTTTTTTATAGACTATTGGAAAATGGTGTTATTTCACCTGTGTACATTCGATGTCTTTACTTGACGCTGACTTACCTGCTGTTGTTTTGCGCTGACAGGATGTTGGCTTCCAGGGCATTCAGCCTCATTGGGAAGAGAGCCATCTCCACCTCCATCTGTGTGAGAGCGCACGGCCATGGTAGGTGGCAACTGCTTCGCTGTTTTAGTAAGGACGATAAAACAAGAGCTCTAGAGGAAGAACACAAAAAGCTGCTGCTGGGGTTTGGGTAAGGAAAGAATTGGGATAGAGGGGGTTTGGTGAGGCTGGTGCCTTGCCCGGTGGCAGGACAGCTGTCTGAGCAGGTGGTGCCAGCAGATGGCATTGCGGAGGCGTAGGCAGGGCTGCTGGGGAGGAGGCAGGAGCCGAGGGCCAGGCAGAAACTAGGATGGAAAAGGTGGAGGGGGCTTCTAGGTATTTGGTAGGGGAGGTGATCAGTGTGACAGCTGGAAACAGAGATGGCCAAGACATTAATAAAGTCATTTTGGATATTACCTTTTATGTAGATCCTCCTTCTGCTTTATTCTTACACTCTTAAAATAGCACCTGCTTTAAGTACTCTCTCTTTTCCCTCTTCCTCCCCGATGAATGCTTCATCCAGAAGTCTTTTCCCTCCTGTATTCCTTAACTGTCATCACGTTTTTGACTGCTCCGTTGTTTTTTTGTATTGTAACCAGTAAGGGATGTTTGTGCAAGAGTCAGAAGCTTGGATGGGTGTGTATTCTGTTCCCATGTGCAGCTGGTGTTGTCAAAGCAGAGGATTTCAGCCTCCCAGCATATGTTGACCGTCGTGACGTTCCCCTGCCTGAAGTGGCCTTTGTAAGGGATCTCTCTGCTCAGCAGAAGGCGCTGAAAGAGAAGGAAAAGGCGTCTTGGACTGCTCTGTCTGTTGATGAGAAAGTCGAATGTACGTAGCAGGGGCTTTAACCTCACAGCTAGCAACCACGCGATCTGATCTGTTGCGCGTTCATTGTTGACAGCTTTTACTATAAAGTGGCAGGCAGTGCCTGTTGAGGTAGCTGCTAAACCCTGCTCTTTCCAGCGGCTCTGCGAGCAGAGCCGTGAAGGAGCTTTATTAATTATGATGGAGCTCCTTGTGTACGTGCGAGCGGAGATCAGTGGTTTGTGTTCCTGGGATCCTTGGTGCTGTTTCAAAAAGTTAGAAGCGCCTGCCATGGTGTCTGTTAGGTGCTGGAAGTGAAGTTCAGCAATTTCTTCCTCTTCCAGAAAACAAATAATCATTATATTTGTTTCTTGATTCCCGTCGGCTATCGACAAGCCAGAAAAACATCTCTTCGTTGTAATAATATGCAATTCTTAATCTGGCAGAGTAAAATGAACCCTGTGTATTTGAATGTTAATGACCACTGACTGTAGCATTACCAAATTTCAGGTAATTAAAGTGCCAAGCAGGTGTTTTGACTTGCCAATAAAACCGCATCATCTTTTCTAACTGCTGTCATGGTATGCAAGTGAGAGCCTGATCTGTCAACAGTGCTGTGTCCACCTGTGTCCCAGTGAGAAGGTTTAAAACTCTTTTGTGAATCGCTCAAATATTCGTAAGCACTCTCCAAATCTAATGCTGTTTTGAACTTCAAAATATTGTGGGCCTTAGTGGCGAAGCTGAGGGAAGCCTTTTGAGATACCAGTGTTCCCGTTGAAATTATTTGTGCTAGGAAGCTTTGTGGTCAGTAACCGCCCTGGGAATTGGAGGGAGGGAAGGAGAGCCCCGTTTCTCCTGTCAGGCCTTCCTTCCCCTTTCGTTCAGCTTTAGGCTTTGGTCACCTCCCTTTGGAGAGCGACCAGTTGCCTGCAAGTCACAGGAAGAGTAAAAGAAATGATTTGATGCTTTTTAACTTTTTTGCAGTGTATCGTATCAAATTTAACGAGAGCTATGCAGAAATGAACAGAGGATCAAACGAATGGAAGACCGTCCTTGGTGCAGTACTGTTCTTTCTTGGTGTAACTGGTGTCATCCTCATTTGGCAGAAACATTACAGTAAGTAAATGCCATACAGTGTTAAGTCTTAAATGAAGAGCAAGATCAACTGATACCTGATGGGAAATCAGAGAATTCTCCATAAACTACTCCGGGGGGGGTCAGAATGCATGTGTATCGAACAGCCGTTCTGGTGACCTCCTGGCAGTTGCTCTTTGTTAGTCTCTGAAACTCAGTTCTGGAGCTGTAACTTCATGGAGATCACCAGGTACATAGTGTAAATATTCAGGAAGCTGACTTGTATAAAGGTGAAGGTGGTGGAGAGAGTTTTGGTGAGAAGAGGGGAAAGGGAGGGAAAAGAGTGGTGATACAGTAATGATCCCAGAGCTTCCTCCTCCTGTGAAACCTGCTGTCGCAAACGTTTATTGCTGCCTGGGTAGTAAACGCTTGGGTTTCTGCCATGTTTGGCTTCCTTCCCAGCTAACGATCCTACCTCGAGGGAGCCTTCCAGCTGCCGTGAGGCAGAGCACGCAGTTAAATGAGCGGCTCTCTGTCTTGAGGCTTCATCTACTCGCGTTGAAAGTTTAGGAGGAGGCTGTTGTCTTGGTACAAGCCTTTTCTGATGAACAAAACGGCTAGAGAATCAATGTGGGAATCTGGTCTGAGCTGAATCCTTCAGAAATTGGATGTAGGGAACGTAGGTTTGAACAGTGATGGCGTGCATGTAATCAGCACTGATGGCTTCGGGGGGGAAAAAAGCTTTTTGTTAGTGAAACTTGTACCTCGGTTCCCAACTTGCTCGTTTTGTATCACGATGTAATTCTGCCTGCTTTTAAATTGTAGTGTACGGCCCTATTCCGCACACCTTCTCTGACGAGTGGCTGTCAGCGCAGACGAAGAGAATGTTGGACATGCGGGTTAATCCCGTGGAGGGCATCTCTTCCCAGTGGGATTTTGAGAAGAACGAATGGAAGAAATGAAGCAACTCAGTGGAACCTGCTCTGCTTGAATATGAAATGATTCCATCACCTGTGTGTGACCTCGTTGCTTATGTACTGGAACAACCTCTCTGCCTACACAGATGCTAATAAATGTCTGGTTAACTTGAAAGTTTCCTTTTACTGGTCTTCAAATGTGTTTGTTGTGACGGTAATCTGTAGTGCGGGTTGAGGGGCATAGCTTTCCCAGAGAGTCGTGTCATGGTTGGTATATAATCAGTTAAAGGGAATGTTTCTGGGGCACAGCCGGCAGTCCTGCTGTGCAGAAGTCTGAACTACATGTAAGGTAAGCAGATCCCAGCCCCTGCGGAGGCTTGGTGTCCCATAACCGCTCCAAAAATAGCGTGCAGGCGCTCCAAAAGGCAGCGGCATGAGTCAAACTGCCGCAGGTCGTGGGGCGGATCAACGCTGCTGTGTCTGTCTGCCCTGCTTGTGAAGGGAACGTGTTCTTGACAGCATGGGCAGGCTGCGAACCTCGCTCCAGTATCCCATGCGGACTCTAGCGAGGAAGAGAGAGAATTATTAGGTCTAGTTCAGCTAAGGACAGGTTTACGTGAACCCCTGAAGTGTTTCATGCCTTGCCTCTTGAGTGAGGTGACAGTGTGCAGACTGCAGCTGGGGGAGGGAAAGAAATGCATTTAGTGGGAGCATCTCAGAGCTTTTATTAAATGCAGCGTTCTGAATGAGTTCTGGTTCATGGCTTAACGTTTTCAAGGCCTGAGCTAAGAAAGCTGGCACCTCTGCTCTGCCTGTACCTGCCAAATTTCTCCTTTCAGCTGATGTGGTGTGTCCCGTAGGCTTTCTGCAGGCAAACTTCTGCCTTTGGTTTAAAAACACACCTCCGAGGACTGAAACAAGCTTTGACCCAGTTTGCTCTTTTCCTGATTTACAGGACCCTCATGGTTTTAAATCCACACCTGTATGTAGCAGCCGTGGAGGAAAGCATGGGGGGGGTCTCAGCCACTTGTGACAGCCTGCCGTGCTGGGGGCTGGCTAGCCTTTCCCTTCCAGTCAAAGAAATTCGGGGAAGGTTGCTAAGGTGAGATG